TGATTTTCGATGATTAATATTTGTTTTTGTTCTCTAATCCTGAAATATAAAAGGCAACCCTCGTACGTAGTATAGGGAAAGTTATGTAATGCTGCGGAAAACCGAATTCGAGATTTCAATGGAAATATACTTTTGGGGGCCCTCATATCGAATATGTGTTATTTTTTTTCAAACCGTCCGTCCCTCTGTCTGTGTGGTGTATGTGAACAACACTCAGCGAATAAACCATGAGTAGGGGTTTTTCCGAATTGAAGAAACGCCTGTCAATTTAGCATGAGTCGACGCTCTGCGGTTTTGAATATTATTCATTAGTTTTTGGGGGTACTTTACATGGAGTAAAAGAACATTTTCTAAAAAAACTCAAAAACGACCCAATTTTTTTCTTAAAATTTCTTGTAAGACACTATTATACATCCATTTACTCTCATATTTAATGAATACTTATGCACATAATTTTTTATATATTTTTTTAAAAGGGTCTAATATTAAGCCGTTTTCCAAAAAAGGCAACAAAAATGAAATTCAAAATTATCTGCCAATTTCTCTTTTCTCGTTTTTTCAAAATTATTAGAGAGACTCTTTTTACGTACGAATAGGAACATTTCTTAGTAAACACGACGCGTTTTGAGATTGCGAACATGGGTTTCGAAATTCAAAATCTACAGAGACAGTCTTATTTTCTTTTTTTTTAAGATGTCGCCTCATTCATGGGACGAAACGAAGCTCCTATTGGAATATTTTTAGATCTTTCAAAAGCTTTTGACGTCATTGATTATAACATTTTACACTCAAAATTACCTTCGTATGGAATTCGTGGTGTTGCTCTAGATTGGTTATGTTCATACCTTAAACAACGATCTCAGAGAGTAGAAATACTTTACTGGAATAATGGAGCATTACGTACATACTTTTCTAATTCTTTGCCAATTGCATGTGGAGACACGCAGGGATCGATTTTTGGCGCTATTCTCTTCCAACAATACGTAAACGATATGCCGTCGACGTTTAGAGACGGAAGAACAGTTTTCTTTGCGGATGATACGAATATCCTTTTCAATAAAGAAACGGAAAATACAATATTAGATATTTCAAATTGGTTTCGTAATAACAAATTAATAGTTAATGAAAAGAAAACTATTTCAATTCTGTTTTCCATTTCAAATAAACAGTTTGGCACTTCCCTGAGAATGAACGGTGTGCCATTAACTGATGTTAAGGTAACAACATTTTTAGGTGTTTAATTCAGTTTTACCTTAAATGAAACGTCCATTAAAATGAATTAAACTCTAAATTACGTTCTTTATGCTACGCTTTCATAATTCTTTTAAATTCAGTCTGCTTACACATTGCTCGTTGTGTATACTTCACGAATGTTCATTCCCCCCTGAGATATGACATAATATTCTGGGGAAATACATCTTATAGCTCCCAGACTTTTAGATTACAAAAATGAATTGTACGAATAATAAGCAAATCCCCCTCACGTTTTTTTTGTAAGCCTCTCTTTACTAATCTAGGTATTTGTCTGTACCCAACGTCATTGTCTATAACTACTACACTTGTCGAAGTAGTCATAGTCATCAGATGAGAATATCAACAGCTCAATACAAAAAATCACCGGCTATACATATACATTATTATATTTCTAGATGACATTAAACAATTATGTTTGATACAAAAGTTTAAGTCACAAGTAAAATCGTTTCTGCTCCACAACTGTTTCCATACAATTAGAGACTATACCGATCATCCAAAAGGAAAGTAATATTAATTTTAACAATGACAGATAATGTATTTTATACCATTTGGATTATATAATTGTAAAGAACCTGTAGCAAGTATTGTACTTCAGCTTCTGGTTTAATAACCATCTCGATCAGGTTTTCGTCCAGTTTTCCTGATCCTCGAACAAATGCTGAGATGGCTCCTTGTTTTGCTTCTGGACATAAATGTAATTTCAAATTAACTTCTGCCCAGTGCAGGTCACACAGTTTTTAACTGTTTGTGACATAAATAAATAAATTGTTCAATGTTTATCAGAAAGGGTGATTTCAGAGTAGTGATGTGTACTTCGATATTTTAACGCGGCGCATGATATAAATCACATGTTGACGGTGTTATCCAATCGGGAGCTTAAACGTCACCACAGTGACGTTACCGTGATGACGTTGAAGATTCCGATTGAATGACATATTATCAGCTGATTTACGTCATTCACCACGTTTAAGTAATCGAAGTATAGGTAGCATCTGAAGCTGAGAGTGCAATATGCCAAACGGCTTTAGAGTACTGGCTGATAACACGGAGCCTCGGTGGCTCGCTTAGAAACAACACAAGGTCCACCAGTATTACTTCAGCTAACTCATTGCAGCGTGACTTTACACAAACAACAATCACTTTTTTAGAACCGCACACCACGGCGACCCAAACTATTCAACTGACGAATCTACTCTGAGGAGAGAGACTCAAGACTCGTTAGCAAACGATTTCCACGTCATACTTCTCCTCACCAGCTGACGTCATGGCGTTCCTGCTATTCAGGCTTAATTTGAACAAGTTGGAACAGATAGTTTTGCGAAATCTTATGTTGACAGTCATTTTTCCTCTAAATTTGAAAGTTACGTGTACAAAATTACGATGGAAATAAGAGTGTATATTTTTATGTTATGACCAAAACAAGCCAATTATGTAAAGTAGTTTTATTGAAGTTTGCACAACATATAGAGAATACCATAGAGAAGCGTGGTCACAAAAAAGTGCTAGATGATATGCAGAGGGCTTGCAAGATCAATCAAAACCGAACAATGTCCAAGAAACTTGCCGTGGTCGCGAAACAGGAGTCAGAAGGAAAGTTCGTGCACACAGGCCACGTCATCACTCACTATTACCATACACTAAATACTCCTGGCCGCTCGCTCTTCCCCCCACCCCCCCAGTTGCCCCCCAGTTGCCCAGGGTACATTATTCGCTGCACCCGTCAGGCTTTTGCAGCTGGAAATAGTGCTGTAAACATACTATCTTACAATCTAGCTTACAAACTAATACAAGTGCCGCTTTGGGCCTATTCTAGTTTTTACAAATGTTTATGATTTTGTATAAAGTTTTTAAAAATGTTCGAGTTTTCTTTAATTTTTTAGAACGTTCACTCTCTCATTCACTCTTAAACTATATTTACAACACATTCATTCACACACTCGCACAACACAACACAACACTACACTACACTACACTACACTATTTACACTGAACACTGCTTTTTTAATTCGCCACGGCGCCCGTGGCGCCGCGACGTCTTTATTGGCAGGCGACGCTGGCCCGGCGGAACACGTCTGCGCGCCGCCCGCACGGCGACCGCCTCTCACGCACTCGCTGCTGCCCCGCGTCGCACAGCTCAGAGAGCGTGTGCAGGGGCAGTGCGCGGAAGGTGAAGGCGATGTGCTGTGGCCCTTTCTTCTGTGGAAGGCCCTGTGCACGCCGCTGTTCGCCGCTACGCCGGTCTCGCGCCGCTTCTTCAGCTCCGCCGCTCGCTCTGGCCGGCGGGTGCCGTTTTATTCACCGTCCGGGCTGAAGGCTCGCCGACTGGCCCGGCCGTAGGGATCGTCCCGTCGCGCCTACTGAGGCGTGACGGTTGCCCCGACTCCGACTGCAGCGACCTCTCGTTAGCCGTACCCGTATTTTCCGGGGGAGCCGCAGTCTCGCTGTTGCGTTCTCGTGGCGGTTCTTTTAAAGGGTAGCGAGCGACCACTACATTGTATTCAAAAGCAATTCGGAAAAGTAGCCTAAGTTATGCCCATCAAAATTGTGACGTAGTGAAATGAGAAATGAATTCAAATAACAAAATAAATATAGTATATTAAAAGATTATAGACAAGTTACAATAAATTGCTAAATTTAAACACTCCGGCAACCTTTTCCTTCCAGTACCCTGCTTTACCGCAGAAAAATAAAAGCCACGCGTGATGCGAGCTGTCGGACAATTACCGTCACATACCGTCCGTGACAATTACCGTCACATGGCCTGACGCCAAAATTTAAACCGTCGTGGCGACCGTGTGCCTACAGCACGCGAGATCGTCTGGCCCTTACTCTCCGGACATCTCGCCCACACTCCTACACTCCTTGTACTTACACGTACAACGCTCTCCGTAATAAACTGAATGAGAACGCGGGCGCAGATGGCGCCGCGTTAAATAGTTGAGGCTGACCCCCCCACCACTGTTCCATAGATAGGCTCGCTTGCCGTCGGCAAGCGAGGGCTCGCTGGCTAGCATCTTGAAAGGGGGTTACGCCCCCACACGCAAAATTCCCAGGTTGGCTCGCCTGCCGTCGGCAAGCGAGGGCTCGCTGGCTAGCATCCTCGAAGTTTACAGCCTAAGGTTATTTTTTGGCTCTGCAGCTCTACCTGAGTCAACCGCCAGAGCGCAAAATCCCGGAAGTTCAGGCTCAACCCCTTCCTCCCTCGCAGCGCACTTTCACCGACCTAACGGTTCTGGCCCTCGTGTTAACGACGCCACAAAATACTCTACCCTGAACGAAAATAATCGAAATCAATTGAGCTGTTTCAGAGATATATCTAAACAAAAAGTGTAAAACGTATTGAAATAGTTTTCATTAATAAACATAAGTTATTATAAAAAGGCAGTAATTTTAAAAATGAAAGCAGACGCATACATTTATTTACATTTATGCACTTCGAACAATTTCGAATTAAGTAATGTTTTTTGTTTGTTCTTGTTTTTACAGATTTGAACTACTTCAAGATTGCAATGCAGACTGTGGATGTTCAAATAAATACAGCCCCATATGTGACGGGGAGACCGGTAGTACATATTATTCCCCGTGCTTTGCTGGATGTACAGTAACCAGAACATTAAATTCAAGTCAAGTAAGACACATTAATTATTAACATACATTTTAATATAAACTAATGAACACAAAAGAAATTCAATGATAATAGTCTGTTTAAATAGTAATGGGTAAATCAACTATTCATAGAAAGTATAAATAGTTTGATGACATTCAATGAAGCTAAAGTAAATTATTTCACATAACGAGGTACTTAATAAGCCTTAACTTAATTACTTAACTAGCCTCAACAATCAGGAATTCCTCGTAGGAGTGTTTGGAGGATACTGAAGATACATAAATTTCATCCGTATCATGTATCCGTGCATCAGGAATTAACTGACAATGACTTTCAAAACCGACAACAGTTTTGTCAATTAGCAGTTCAGAGAATACAAATGAATCCGAATTTTTTAACTCAAGTACTAATCTCTGATGAATCGACATTTACAAGCCACGGTGAAGTTAACCGCCATAATATGCATTTTTGGAGTGTAGAAAGCCCACACTGGATTCAAGTAAATCATCAGCGACCATGGTCGGTAAACGTTTGGTGTGGAATAATTGTCAATAAACATATCGGACCATACTTTATTGACGGTAATCTAAATGGTGACAAGTACTGAAACCTTCTTGATAAAGAACTGAGGTATTGGATCGGGATTACAATAACCGTTGGATCTAGAGAAGGACCAGTGCACTGGTCAGCTAGATCACCAGATCTTATCTCTCCAGATTTTTTTGTGGGGTTACCTAAAATATGTCATTTATAAAGAAACATGATGCAATGCATAAGAAATGCTTGTGCCGCGATTACCAGATATGCTTATGTGATGTGTTCGTTTATATGTAGAACAAATCAATAAATGTATTGAGATTCAGGACCATCATTTTGAGCACTTACTTAAATAAATGCTTTGGTATTTGTAGAATCATCTAAAACCAGCACTCCGGTAGTGAGAGGCAAGGAGACTCACTGAAAACAAGCATCTCAATATACATGTAGGCTTCCGCGGCTCGAGTCCATTACTTCTAGGCTGTCCGGGCGACGCCGCGTCGTTGGCAGATAGACCAACCCACACGGATAGATACCTCCACGCGGATTCGCATCACCATCCAGCTACAAAAATAGGGGTGTTGAAGACACTGTTTACAAGAGCTCTGAAGGTGTGCGACGAGCGCTCTCTTCCTAACGAACTCAAGAAGCTTGAACACATCTTTAGAGCTAACGGCTACTCCCGATTTACTATCAAACGAGCGCTCACCTGTGTTACGGGCCACTCTAAAGGGCACGGGGTTTCCGAAGTTCGCAACAACGACGATGGCCTCCGCTCTAATCCGGAGACAGAGGAGATGACCAGTACTCGATTAGCCGTGCTTCCGAAACGTCGGCCTATCTGCCAACGAGTAGTCCGTAGCGTCACAGATCGCGTGGAAAAACTGCTTCGGAAGAACAACAACCGGACAGTTTTCACGGCTCCCGACAAACTGCACAAGACCCTGGTACGCATTAAAGATGCTTTACCACCTCTCCAGGAGGCAGGCGTATATGAAGTTCCCTGCAGCTGAGGCAGAACGTGTCGGTGAGACCGGGCGTACAGTGTCTGAACGACTTAGGGAACACATTAGTTATTACAATAAAAACCAAACCCACCGTTCGGCCATAGCAATCCACTCCGAGATTTCCTTGATTTGCCGCGCGTCGAGCATTCCGCCACAGTAATATGCCAGTCGCTGTTTTTTGGGATATTGATGGTATCATTTATGTTGATGTTATGCCAAAAGCCAGTACCATCAATTCAAATTCTTACATCAACACTCCGAATTCCCTAGAAACATTTCCCGCGCGTTCAATCCCAGAAGAATTGTGCCCAAAGCTTGCTCTTACACGACAACACACGCCTACCCACAAGTGACGTAACAAGAGAAGCACCAAAACGGACTGTGCTCCCCATCCACCATAGAGTCAGTATTTAGCCCCTTCCAACTTGCATCCTTTTGAGCAACTGAAAAACGCTATTCGCGGAGCAAAAATTGAAGATGATCCGAAATAAACAAAAGGCAACGCTGCCAAGAAAAGAATTGATAGTACCGGCAAAGCAAGCACGCCCTTGTTTCACAATGGCGCAAGACTGTGCAGTTGATGGAAATTATGAGGAAAAATAGAGCAAGTAAAGTCATCGTGAATTAATATTGTGTGCAAAGTTCTGGTTCTTCCAATAAATATTTGAGAAAAATAAGAGGCATTACTTTCTGGATATATATATATATATATATATATATATATATATATATATATATATATATATATATATATAGTGACGTACCTGAGAAGCGGTACTTTCACGATTAATAAATTGTGCAAGGGACAGGTACATTTTCGCGAATGGGTCTCCAGGAATTTGGCGTAGCATAGGAAGATACCCGTTATAGATTCTTTTGCACATCTAAATATTTTAATGATCAGAGAACACACTTTACAAATAGTATTTACAAATCGCAATGCGCAGGCCTTGGAAACAGCGCACGGTCAACGCTACCAAAATGTTTTAAAAACCACCTGCTTCCTCTGGAGGCGACCGGAGCCGTCGTGGCAACGGCGGCGGTGTCTTCGGCAAGCTCCGGTTCGCCCCGAAGTCCGCTGGGAATTCGCCCTCCCTCGGCGACCTACTCCTCTGGCCCACAGTAACGGCCGATGAATTCGCCGGGGTCCACCCCAGCCGGTGTGAACAATGTCTCACGGGTACTGGAACACACGACGCGTGATTGATGTTCGTCGATTGTTCTAGTCTTTTCAGCAACCTTTCTCAACTTCGCGCGAATGTCCGTAAGCACTGCCCACTGTTATATTATACCAGGGGCGGGATTATAACACCAGTCCACCGGCCACACGATTTCCTGTCATATTGGTTTTTATCAGTTCTGGTACGCAATTCTACTTCCCCTAATCATCTGACTGTTAATCCATATCAAACCTGGTTCCACATTCAGCGGCCACACTCAGTCCGAACTGCCCTTAATAACGACAATAAATCTGTTGGACGCAACACTGCCCCGCCCGTACTTCACTTGAGGCCTCTCCGCGCACCCACTAACGTCGCTCGCCTCGCCGTTCCCCCCCCCCCCCGATTTGACTGTTAGGTGGGTGGCGGCGGCGGCGTTACTGGGCTGATCAACTCCAGTACTTTTAATTTCATTAAGTAATTGGTGATCATTTAATTTGTTTTAATTCCAGAAACGTTTCTTCCGTTTCAATATATATATATATATATATATTATACAATATAATATATATATAATATATATAATATTCATATATAATGTTTGTAATCTAATTAATACTTTTTCCCTGAAGGTATTTACCAACTGCGCATGCATAACGGAGGCAAGAGATTCAGCACCTTTTCAGAACTCAATATCTGATAGGTACCTGCTTCCAGGTGCGTGTTCCAGTGATTGTGCTGGAATTTTCTATTCATTCCTCGCCATTCAATTCTTCATGCATTTTTTGGGAAACACAGGAAAAATTGGCAACATACTTATCACATACAGGTAAAGTATGTTTTCAATGTTGCAATCTTCTCTTCCGAATTGTGTATGTTATTTTTTTTATGTTGCGATATATATCGTAATTTTTTTCTTAATTTCCAAAATTCTGTAGTTTTGAACGGCACACGTATTTTACGTAAAATTCTTCTTTCTAATACTCTGTACATCACTATATGTATATTATTGTTTAGAGAAAGAGAAAGTATTGAAATACTGCTGCGAAACGTACTGATTATTCGTTTTGTGGGTCCCTAATAGCGTAAAAGTTCGTTTTTCTTCATTATTATTTTTACTTTATTATTTTTATATTTATTATTATATGCAGTAAATTACTTTCTCTGGTAAGTCAAGTTTCCACATTTTGTAGGTTCTTGATTGAAAAACATGACTTTTTAGCAAAACGTCCAGCCGTCTACCTATGTGTCTGTCTCTGTGGACAACGTTTGTGTTTCAATCATACACCGGATGTTCATCAAATTTTATCCTTCCCGACCGACCAACCCGAAGTCGCAGCCCCTGAATTTGAAACAAATATTTTAATATATGGAAGCACATTAAATGAAATCCCAATGGCATTTTTGAAATTGTCTACTCAAATTTAGAAAAGTGCGCTTATAAAAATGGTGATATCCGACTTTCGTTGAAATACTTGAAGTTGGGAATATTGCAAAAGTTACATAATTCTTCAACCTTCTCCACCAATTACATTACATTACATTACAATTACATTATTTAAATTCCGTGGTGGTAGCAGATATCTTGTGGTAATTCATAATATGGCAAAGGAAATAATCGACCACAAAAAGTTTAATAATTTTTATTAATTATTACCCAGAGGTAACATTCGGAAAACACTTTTCCCATTCTCAGTGTTTCTCTAGCAAGGAGGAGAAAATTGAAATATTAACCCAAGTTGAACGAAAGAAATACAGCAAGTTTAGTTAAGTGAAAAGAAAAAAAAATCAAATAAATAAAATTGAATATACTTACTGTCCAAGCAACATGGATCACTCATAAATGTTCATAACATGGTCAACAAAATATGAAAACTGTAAAACATGCTTGGTACAGCTAGGTGGCAGCCATCTTTTGGAATGGAAGAAGAGGGAGGCCACCGATTGTGGGAGAGGGGGGGGGAGATCAGAAGAGTAGAAAGGGTAGTCATAAACAGATTTAAAATTGACTGCTTTTCATACAGGAATATATAACAGGACAGAAAATTAGGGATTTGCAAGATTCTAGAATTTTAAATTATATAAAGAACAAATTTTAAATAAGTTGGCTAGATAAAAATATTGCAAAAAGGAAAAAAACAGGTCAAACAAATGATCAGGGGGTTCTTTAAAAAAATTTTAAAATGGGACTGCTTATAATTAAGGAATGTTCATTCAACATAAAAAGTAGTATTTTTGAAAAGATTTAGAATTTCCAAGTTCTCCAAAATGTTTATTTTTGTGACTTTGTTAAGTAAGTGAAGTATTTCAAAATTATAATTAGAGTGAAAGAAATGGTTAAATTGAATCAAATCAACTGAGGAAAACGAGGCAGACAGAGACAGTCAGATAGAAAGACACAGAGAGAATCAAGCAGAGAGAGACAGATAGATAGCGGTATAGACAAAGATATATAGACTGAGAGTTATAGACAGACTGAGACAGGGACACAGAGAGCGACGGAGAGAGAGAGAGAGAGAGAGAGAGAGAGAGAGATATATATATATATATATATATATATATATATATATATGTGTGTGTGTGTGTGTGTGTGTGTGTGTGTGTGTGTGTGTGTGTGCCTAAAAAAATATCAAAATGCTCCCATATCCCATAGTTCCAGAATGAAGTTGAAAAACGCCGTTTTAATTGTCCAAACCGAATAAATAAGTGAAGTGAATTTGGGCAAAATATAATGTCCTCCCTCCTCATGCCGTTCCACCACCACTGCCGCCACAAGCGTGTCTGGTTTGAACTGGACGGGTGAAATGGGCACAGAGTTGCGAAGCCTATGCGTAAATCCGCCCCTGACTGTTCATGGGTCTGCAAAAAATGTCGTCTCATTTCCTTCGACTCATTTCTGAGGATTGCCGCTACGGAATATTAAATACAGCGAAATCTGTTCGAGACTCGAAAGACGAATTAACATTTTGTTACGTCTTACTCAGGTGCAGGGCATCGAACACTTTTGCTGCTAGAAAACGATTCTTTGCATCATAAATAAATGCATTTCAATGCGCGACTCTCTATTAATATTTTATTGCATTTATTAGAAAGCTTTAGAAAAACATGAATCCACCATACTATGCTTCTCACTACAAGTTATTAGAGCTAAAGGCGTCTGTCAGTTTTAACTATTTTGTACTGCGCTGAGTGCACTTGCCTACTTTCATTACACAATTGTTCGTGTAATTCAGTGAAATTTTTATTTACAACAAAAATTTCCAGGCCACTTACACTCTTTAGAGCATTAGAAAACACGTCGATTGTTGGCGAGTAATTTGCTTTTGGTTCTTCATCTGCTTTCTGCTCATCATTATCGTAAATATTCTATATTGTAGTTGTGAAATAGTGGTGTAGTTAACAGTAAACAATGTACCTACGCCATCTTGAGAAGCGTATTCAAGTATGTTCTTACAAAAAATTTAAAGAAAACATTTAGATCCATTCGTGAGAAAATTTAAAAATTTCCCAGGGGCATCATCCAAAGAATCCCAAAACTTTTAAGGATTTTTTTCAAACTCACAATGCTTTTAAAGAGGACCGATCGATCGGGTAATATTCATTTTCGATACAATTTCAGGAATAGTTTAGGCACTAGTGTTGTTCATAGATGGACAGATGAACGGACCTTTTGAAAAGAAAAAAAAAGCTTTTTCGGTATCCAGGGGCCCCAAAACATGCATTTCCGTTACAATCTCGAAATCGATTTTCCGCAGCATAACATTACTTTCTCTACGCTGCGAATATTACTCAGCATATTCGTACGTATACGAGAAGGTAGAAGTAATGTTGAGAGGCGAAAAATATGGAAAGCATGAACTGACAGATCCCAATCGGGCAACAAGTGAAACGCCGAATTTACCTGGCTCACTACTCCGCTTACATGCCTCTGCCACCTACAGCCGTTCAGTCCAAACCAGACACGCAGGACAGAATAAGTGTTTTCTCTTATGTCTAAAAAGACCAGTTCTCCCACCTCCTAAATCTGTGGGCATGCAACTGTGACGTGGAGGGCGGGAGGGCGCTAAAAGTGAATGGTAAGGTATTTCACACGTTGCCAAATTGCCAAACCAAGTTGTGGTGTTTTCAGACATAGGTTGCAAGTTAGATTAGATTAGGTTAGATTATATTAGATTTATTCTGTCAAAAAACTGTATGGGACGCATGGGGGAGATGATAATATGCGCAGTTAATCTAAGACCCGGTATAATTCATTATATCAATACTATTCTTTCGGAAATATCAAATATATCTTTGTTATTAAATTAACTTATTTTATTATAAAGGTGCTAGTCTTTAACGTAAATATAAAATCAAATTTTACTTTTCTGGCGTTCCCACCGGTGATGGTAGGTGTCCGTAGAAAATAGTTGCGGCATACGCATTGGATGCGAGTTGTATAGCATCAATTGAAGAGCTCAGTCAATTCAGAGCCCAGTCGTTCTAGTATCCACCCACCAAACTAGTGGGCGGTCAGAGAGAAGGCTGAGAACCACAGCGCATCCGCGGTTATGAATGAAGAACAAGGCCTTACGAAGTTTTCAGGGAAAGAAACATATCTCCCCCCCCCCCGTTTCAAGATTTCAAAACTATTTTAAATCTTCACTAACATAATTTTTTACAACAATAATTAAATTAGTAAAAGTATACCTCTAATGCATTGTATATTTACAACAAATAGTAGTGAATATTTTTAGAGGTTTTTAATTTTTAAGAAGGGATACTTTCGGCTGTCGGATTAGCCTCAGCCACGGTACCACGAGCTCCGGTTGCCTTATCCCACAGGGCTCAAGAAGTACGCGTTCCGGTTCTTTACCTGTTCATTCGCTTGTATTTCGTTGTGTTGCTTTTCAGATTTATGGTTTTAATCGCGTCAAAGTTAAATGTTATTTTGTTTACTTTTCTTCATTTTGGTTTTTAGGTAGTAAATTTATTAATCTACAGTTTTTTTAATTTATTTTATTTTTCTTTGCAAAATTAATTTAGAAGTGTGATCACCAACCGTAAAGCGCAAAAGTGGTAAAGTGCTCCATAATTCAAAGAAATGGTAATTGTTGTTTATAACTAAGTTAATAACTCGTGCATATTTAAATAACTAGTGAATATTTAAATTTATATAACTAGAATAAAATTTATATAACTAGTGAATATTTTCGAACAGGATAGCCTTACCGGAAAATAAATTGTGAACCTATTGAAAGCCTACCGGGAGATGACTGCCCGCTCTCCCGGAGTGAGGCAACTCGGTTTCCTGAGAATCAGATCAATTTGATCCTGTGGTCCCGATTTATTTTATGCTTGCATAAATTTTAAATATTTTGTTCGGTAATCTAAACGTATTTTTTCTCTACTGTTACTAAGGAAACTTCTTTTTGAAACTGCATGTAGTTGGCTTGAATTTCAGATATTGTATGGAAATAGAAGCACATGTTAATATTTCTTTGTGATTTCTTTTGACACATTTCGAAGCACAAGGAATGGGAAAAGCTGAACAGAAATGTTTCCTGTATACATACTTTCATAAGTATAGTTTTAGATTTGAGGAAAAAGAAGAAAATAAACTTTCATAAAATTGGAGAGGTTCTGGACAAACAAGTTTAGCGCGAGTCTAGCGCACATGCGGGATTCGTCGACACCATTGATCGCGTAACTTTTGGTTCATACAGCACAGCAGAAAAGTGACACTTTTGGTTCGCTGTCGCCATAAGAGACTGTACTTCATTTTTAATCTCGAACGTGCTATCGTTTGCAAAACGTTCCTCTAAGCCTCATGAGACAATTCTCGTCCTCGATATTTTAAATCGAGTTTCGAATACATTAAAGGGAATATTTATGAGGTTGCAAAGTCATTTCATAATTTTTTAACTTCATTGTTTCGTTTAATTTTATAAATCAAAGTAATGAATAAAATGAGTTAATAGTTTATAATATTTACTGCAAATATTGTTCAGTGTAAAACTAGCATGATTCAAAAAAACATAAAAACCTAAAGTTGGCTAAATCGTTTTTCGAAAAGCCTAAAATGACGCTTATAAAATCCTTATTAACCACACAAACTCCAAGTCAATAACATGAAAATTGTTATTTCTGGTCTGTGGGTGGGAACGGCGGTCACACTAGTATTTCCTTAATATGTTCCTTTTTCAGATGTGTGAAGGTTGAAGATAAATCTTTTGCTCAAGGACTAACACTCTTTATGATAAGTCTTCTGGCATTTATACCTGGACCTATTATATATGGAGTCATTATTGGTCAGTATATACAGGAATTAAAACTGAATTTAATGAAAAATGTATCAAATTTTATTCCAAAATCGTTGCATATCTTCCTTCGTTTTTTTTTCTTTCTAGATTCCACATGTCTTGTTTGGGAGATAAACTGTGGTAACAAAGGCAACTGTTGGCTTTACAATCCCGATAACTTCCGGCTCTATATTAACTCAGCAGCAGCATGTATGTTCACAGTATTATATTATATTTATAGACCTTATTAAATAGTTTACATTGGCAAAGTCATTTCAAGTTTCGTCAGGTAGTATACGTGTAACATAAATAGTAACATTTTTTAATATTCAACTTATTTGTTTTTACATGACAACTGTTTAGGCAGGATTGGCCTTTGGGATTTCAACGTTGGGGTTGAAATAAATTTGGTGTCCCCTGCCGAAAAAATAAATTTTGCAAGTGTAACCTTTAAAATATTACAATTACTTTGCAATTTACTTTACAATATTGTACACAATTTGATAAGAGCCATTATTTTAAAAAATCACATGTTTGTTGTAAGTAATAATATTGTAAAAGTATAAAAATGTGTGCTTTATAAACTTTACCCCAACTTGCACGGCTAGCCTTGCTGCCAAAGAGTGTCTGTTTTGATGACCTCACCTATTATGGCCTCGCCAATGGAAGTAGCAAGGATATCTTAAATTTATTGATTGATACTTCCGTGTTAACTTCTAAAGTCATTAGTCCCGTAAGTGTAGAGAATATGTTACATCTAGGGATGGTGATGATCATCCCCCGATGGACGTGAGATCGGGCGCCGATCTACCCTTCGGGTTGCGAGGTTTTCCCAACCAGGTATCTCCCACTGCCATAGCCACGATAAGCTCTCAACATCCGACTGGTCTCCCACCATGTGTGGGAGTGTAGTGCGTGTAAGTGTATGTAAGTGTAAGAGATTAGGATACGATAAGGAACAGGACGTAAGGATCGCGTGCGGTCCGTGGTCGTTTGTTTGTGTTCTTCCGCGGCTTTCGCCTGGTGCTGATCAGAGAAACCACGAAAAATTACCGATAAGAGCATCCGGCCGCTAGAATTCTCTTCTGGACAGAGGCTGAACTCGACTTATCAAGCTAGTGCTGAAAATCCTGCCACCCCGTCGGGACTCGAACACTAGAACTTCCCACATAGGGGAGCTGCAGTGACATCAATGTATGCCCTGAGTTACCTAAGCTAGTAGGAAGTAGCAAGAAGTACAGCGTTTGAAACATACAGCCATTCCGTCTCCATCGTCGAAGAGCCACAGGTCCACATTTGCTTGGAATGTCAACCACGTTGCACGATCCATTGAGAGAGTAGAGCAAACTCACGACCAAATTGAACAATTTGAAGAACGGTAAGTAAATGATCGCTTCCATACTGCTCTTCTAATATGGTCCACTGTATAGCGGTTGCAAGTGAAGGTCTCGGCCAATAAACGTATTTCAGTTCGTTACTATGATTAAATGTGTTGACTTACCTATTTTTACTATCGCTAAGTTGATGGTATCGATGACTGATTCCAATATCACGCCCCTCAGGTAAGTTCAAGAAGAACATCAAAGAGGGCTGGGCGCTTACATCAATCAAGTAGGGTGCGGACAGTTGGTTTATTAGTCCTAGGAAGTCATCGACCGATACCTTTGTCCTGGGGTATATAAATGTTACAGTGAGAGTGAGGAATGGGAGGCACACACACTGTTTGAAGGTCGGTATGAAAAGAAATATCTGTAGAGAGCAGCAATCATGTTGATCAAAGTAGCAACTCCGCCATGTGCGCGGTGGCTGTCATCGACATCAACACTAGATGAGGTAAAACTGCGGAAGGATTGAGTGCGTGGTGGAAGTAGGTTCATATCCTGTAAACTGATTATCGCAGTAACATGACGAGAGTTTTAGTTCGTCACACCGAATGCAAAAACCATTTAAATTCCAGGATAGGAAAGCCGTGCTGTGTGTAAGTGTTTTTCTTTTAATTTTACCCCGCTGCTGCTTGACGGGTCGAGTGTCCACCCCGGCTGAGGATTCTTCCGAGGAAAAGGACTTTCTTAATACTGTGCACGCGGATATCGCTCAGAGTGAGTCTCGTGACTCGGAGTAGGTGGTCAGAGATTCAAAGAGCAGTCACAGATGAGAGACCGGGGTGGTTGGTTGTCTGACATCTACCTTCATGCGCGGCTGGGTGGAAGCGAATGGATGGTTAGACTTTGGCGATTGAGTAGTTTTCTTGACCAGTTTCTTGTGTTTGGTGGGAATTACAAACCCCCTTGCAGGAGCGACATCTCTTCAGGGAAGTCTACAGCAGATACTGGCTACAGAAGCGCGCTTCAGAGGGAGCAGCAGGTACGATTTGGCAACTCGTTTTTGATTTAATTGCCTTTGCCATAGAGCCATACGCCTGGAGAAGGACGGAGTGAGATCGACAGGATTGTTTGCCATGTACCGACGTTTGGAGTCGGGAAAAGACGCTTTGTCCGGACTCGAATTCTCTGGATATACCTCTCCTTCAGAAAGGTAGTGCACTTGTTAGAGTCGCTTGCGTAGTATCCTTTACAATTCACAACTCATCCTTTCTGGCGTTCACAATAGAGAGAAGGCCAGAAAAGGGGGTGTTAAAAGATTGCCGGTAACATGAAAATCAAGAGCATGAAAGATGGAGAATGGAATACATGAGAAATGTCTCTGCATCTCCTCATCCGGATGTGGACTGATCCACCTCGATAGGAACTTCAATCATGAAAATACAACTTTATTTTAAACAAAAATGTTCTTGCCACTCGAATATGTACCTTAATAAAAAATACATATTTCATTCAGTAAGGAAGATGATAACCTACAACAAAGAAAGACCTCTATTCATGAAAAAAATAAACGCTTGTACCGAATTCTACCTACTAGTCCACGTCTTGCAACACCATCCAACCGAACTCTTGCCATTATGAGCAGTCATTTATTGCATTTTTTTTCTCATTCTCGTAATCGAGAAAGGATGAAAGAGAATGGGGGCCTACGGAATTTCGTGCAACGAGAATGCATTCTCGAAAACGAGGCGATTCAATAATCTCTTGGTCAGGGCCTCAGACGGAGGGGAATGCCAATGGTGTTCGTAGATATCATCGTGTTCGTTCGAATGACATTGTGTCCGTGACAGAAGTATGTTGACATGAGATACTGCGTTGCAAATGCATTGAATTTCTCGGAACAGATGTTCTCGCCATGATATTGAGTTTATCTTATAAGTTGATTTTGTTTAAATTTAACTCTATAAAAATAAGATATTGTGCGTATTTCGGGCGTACGCGTTGCTCTCATTCTGTCCCAAATTTCGCCGGTGATTGAGCTCATACCGAACTATTTCCCTATTATACTGTCCTCAGCTCCACAATAACTGGTACTCGTAGACTAGGTTAACTCCTCACGTCTTGATTGAAGAATACTTCCTTCCAGAAAAATTCTAACAACATTCACGGACGGCTATCTAGGCGTCTGCCCGACGTCCAACTACCTAGTACGTCGGCAAGTTGTTGCAGGATCGGCGGTCAAGAACTGAAGAGAGTGCTGCTCTCTCGGCGAACGGGAACGAAAGAGAGTGACTGACCGTGCGCTCGCCTTTTTGTGCACGCGCCTTCAGTGTAGGGGTAGTGCGAGTCGTCTTTTCCTCTCTAGTCTGCCTGCTTCTATGTCACATTCATGCGCCGTGCCGCGGACAACAACAGTTTCGTAGGCTGTGGGCGCATCCTTTTCAAACCGCGCCGTGATCGCTCACGCAGTCTACCTCAGGCGTTTTCTTGATGTGTGGGCGTGTGGGACGAACAAAGTCACTCGCGTTCTTTTGATTACGTTACATGGTTCTGACTAGAATTTAAATAATAAAATTCTCACTGAAACTGTCTTACTTGAATACCTCGACATCTGTTGCCTGTGTCCATGCTCATGGAAATATGCAGCCGGGTGGCTCACTGCTTCTCATTTGCTCTATGTATTCAATATTTCTTTTCTTTCCTTTATTCTCCCAAATATATAATGTAAAGAGGGAAATAAGAGAAAGCAATGTAACTATGCAGAAGAAAACCAAGTAATAGAAACGGGCAAAACTGAAAGAACAACTATGTACAGGTTTCATAGCATACGCTAGATAAGTAAGGAAGTAATGATATGATAATAATAATAATAATGATAATAATAATAATAATAATAATAATAATAATAATAATAATAATAATAATAATAATAATAAACTCCAGCGTATGAAATGGACTAAGGAGTTAAGTATCTCCATTATACATGCGTACTTTTTGGCTACTTTTGACCAGACTTGAAGCGGACATAGAAGGATACAGGGCCCAATTTCACGAAGAATGGTTAAAGCTGCTTCCGAACATATCGATATCCGAGCAGAGAGTGTGCGACCAACAGCGCATCATCATTGTAAGGAACTTTCTCTCAGCTTCAGAGATAAATACCATTAGGGAGAATGTAAGAGCATCCTTGGGCATTGAGAATAGGAATGAGACTGATGAAGGAAGAAATAATGAAGACTCACAAGTTATTAGGAATGGTATGTGGAGACTAATTCTGATGAATCCTACCTCCCAGTGCCTGAGCAATTATCTTGGACTGCACATTATGAAACCATGAAGACATACTATTATAGTATTCCATTATTTTCCAGACCATGGATCCAACGAGTGGGATATGGCCCTCGTACAAAAGCGGCGATGGAAGCTGTCAATAACTTGCTGAAAGTAGATGTAGAATAATCGACAGCGCTTGAGGAAGTGGTGAGCTATGCGTCTTGTGCAGCCCTTACTGTTGTACAAGGTCTTAGTAAATCTGTAAAGGATAAATTAAAAACATTGGAACACACAGGACAGTCCGCTAAGCCCACTAAGACCCCGTGGTTGAGCCGTATTGAACGCAAAATTGAAAGCTTCCGGCGGGACATAGGCATTCTGACAGCCTTCTTAAAAGCTCCTGAGAATGCCAC